CAGATGCTAAGGGAAAAATCTTCTGGGTGGCATGCATGCGGCGCACACACATCTGGTTGGAATGGACATGAACAACACATCTCGAAGAACAACAGTTATGAGAAAGTGAGTAACCGTTTTTTCTGACTTGACTATCAGCTCCAGCTGCAACATAAGCATTTAAAAAACTGAAGTTGTTCTCCAGTTTCCTACCATTATTGTCTGACCTTAAAGCTATTCACTAAGCAGGAAAGCGAAGCTAAGAGGGCAGGCAACTTAACAACTTTATATTGTGGGATAGTCTCCTAATGGTTAAGTCAGAGGTCAGGGTTTTTACCCTTTCCCACAGAATGGATTGTATGTTTGGTTGCCTATGCCAGAAGGCATCATAAGATGCCTGCTGATTAATTTATACAGGAATGTGTTTGTGGGTATTTGTCGTGTCCTCAACTATTTGGTTCCATGTTTTTAAGTGCATGAGTTTTGTAAACATGATAGGCAACTATGGCTTGTTTTTGTTAACACCCTTTATTAGCTTTTGAAACTGTTTATCAAATTTCTCAGGTTTGTATTTTTACATGTTTTCTGTGTATGTGTGTAGTTAAATTAAACAAACATTTAAAACATTAAATACAGAATAATCTAGTGATTTCTCCATATTAAGTTGACTGAGAAGAACTGCCCGTGCTGCTAGCTGGAAACCAAAGTCCGCATTCTCCTGGTAGCTTTAAAATTGTTGGGGTTTTGTGAGGGAGAGGGGGAGAATGTCAGCAATGCACAGTCTATAAGCAATATATCACTCCAGTACGTCTGCAAAGACTGAGCGCAGCAGTAGTTGATTAGGCGATTGTATACTAATAATACATTACCCCATCATCTTTGCTTTAATCATGGAACAATTTCATTCAAGACAGGGATTGAAGAAAATATATTTGGCCAGTTTTTTCCATTTTTCCATCAGTTTCAATGATGGAGAATTGTGTCTAAATATGAGATGGCGGCAGTTTCTTAAACATGTTACTATTTCTGCCCTTAAACCCTGCTGGTTGCATGAGCCCAATGTCAAAATTTGACATTTCCTGTACATGAATTAAACAGTGAGGCTGCCTGGGCGTAGCCAGTGAATTGTACTCATGTTTCAAATATTATTATGTAATGTGGTTTCACTGGGAAGATTGAGGGATAGAGTTAGTTTACCAAAAAAATAAATAAATAAGCTATTTAAATACTTTAATTGCAAGTGTCCAGCCAATTTATTCCAAGTTTTTCAGATCACACTCTAATTGTCAATAATGCTCTTCCCCTGCAAGGAGTTGCTGGGGCTGTGCCAGACCCACCCCCAGAAACCTCCCCCAGCTGCAGAAAGCTCAGCATCCTCCCCTGCTTCCTGCCTCTCCTCAGCTGTGGCGGGAGGGGGTCACTGTACAGGGAGCTGCTCCCCGCCCCCACATCCACACAACCCCCATACCCAGATACCCCTGCCAAGTCACTTGGTACATCCAGAACTCCCCCAACCCTCCATACCCAAACCCCACCTCACTGAACCTCAACCCCTGAATCTGGAGCCCCCCCTGCACCCAGATGAGTTAAGAGTCTCTAGTTAAAGATAAAAAGGGCAAAAACCAGGGGTGACATCATCATAGGGGTGTACTAGAGCCCACCAAATCAGGATGGGGAGGTGGATAAGGCATTTCTAGAACAAAATAACAGAAATCTCCAAAACGTGAGTGGTAGTTGTACACATCTGTAGGCCTAGAACCCAGGTCCGCAGAGCATGAGACAGCTGACCTATGTTGCCATTGTGATGTCATACAGAGTCCCCTCCAGGGAGCACTATGGCAATTAGGCACAGAAACTGCTGCTCAAAGGGTCCAAAGAGACAGCACCCTGCAGCCTTCTTATTTGGCCCACGCTCAATATTTAACCCTGGAGGATCTCCAAGAAGTTGTCTAGGCAATCATGCAGATTTTTGGCTTGCTGTGACTCCAGACCTCACCTTGCTTTCTGATCTCCAATCTCCCATTTCAGCTGCCTGTGACCCTTGCTCTTGCCTTCTGATTCCAGCCTGATAATTACCTCTGATCTCTGACCCCAGCCTGACTCTGGCTGCTGCCTATTGATCCTGTTTTTAGTGATTACTCTGATCCCTGCTTATTGACTGCAGCCTTGTGACTTGTGAACACCAGCCCAGCTGTGACTGCTAGGCCAGATCATCTAGGCCCTGGTCCCTTATGGTAAGTAATGGGGGACTTCAACTGCCCAGACACCTGTTGGAAAAGTAATATGGCAAAATACAAAATTTTCAGTAAGTTTTTGGAATGTACTGGAAACAACTTATTTGTTCCAGAAATTGGAAGATGTAACCAGGGAGCCTGTCATTTTAGATTTGATTCTGACTAACCCAGAGGAATTAGTAGTGATTCTGAAGACGGAAAACAATTTGAGCAAAAGTGATCATGAAATGATAGATTTAGTAATTCCTAAGAAAAAGGAGTGAGAGCAGAAGAATAAGGACAATTAACTTAAAAAAGGAGCCTGTAACAAACTCGGAGAACTGGTAGGCAAGGTCCCATGGGAAGAAAATCCAAAGGAAAAAGGAGTTCAGGAAAGCGGGCAATTTCTCAAATAGACAATATTAAAGGCACAACTGCAATCTGTCCTGATGCAAAGGAAAGAGAGGAATAGTAGTAAGAGGCCAATATGGTTCCAGTAGGTGCTCTTTAATGACCTGAAAATCAAAAAGTGGAACCATGTACAAATTGCTAAGAAAGGGTACAAAAGAACAGCAAAAGCATGTAGAAACAAAATCAGAAAGGCTAAGGCAAAAAACGAGTTACCGCTAGCAAGGTACATAAAAGGCAATAAATGTATTAGGAGCAAGAGAAATATGAAGGAAAGTGTAGGTTCTCTACTTGGTGGGGAAGGAGATAACTGATGAAATCAACAAAAATCATGTGTTTATTGCCTATTTTGCTTCAGTCTTCATTAAAAAGCTAATGGTGACCACACTCAACACAATTAATATTAACAACAAGGGGGAACACAAGCCAAAATAGGGGAAAAAACAGGTTAAAGAATATTTAGATAAGTTAAATGTATTCAAGTCAGCAGGGCCTGATTAAATTCATCCTAGGGTACTGAAAGAACTAGCTGAACCAATTCTGGAACTATTAGCAGTTATGGCTGAGAACTCCTAGAGGATGGGTGAGGTTCCAGAAGATTGGAGAAGGGCAAACATAACTTATTTTCAGAAAGAGGAACAAAGAAGATCTGGGGAATTAAAAAACAGTCAGCCTAACTTTGATATCTGGAAAGCTACTGGAACAAATTATTAAACAATCTATTTGTAAGTAACTAGAAAATAATATTCCATACTCAGAGTAGTTATCAATGGTTTGCTGTCAGACTGGGAGGATGTATGAACTGGGGCTCTGCAGGGATCTGTTCTGGATCTGGTACTATTGAATATTTTTGTTAATAACTTGTATAATGCAGTGAAGTATACTTATAAAATTTGCAGATGACACTAAGCTGGGAGGGGTTGCAAATATTTTGGAGCAGGGGTCGGCAATGTTTGGCATGCGGCTCGCCAGGGTAAGCACCCTGGCGGGTTGGGCCAGTTTATTTACCTGCTGAGGCGGCAGATTCGGCCGATCGCGGCCCCCACTGGCCGCGGTTCGCCGTCCCGGGCCAATGGGGGCAGCGGGAAGCGGCGCAGGTGAGGGATGTGCTGGCCGCGGCTTCCCACCGCCCCCATTGGCCCGGGACGGTGAACCGCGGCCAGTGGGGGCCGCGATCGGCCGAACCTGCCGCGTCAGCAAGTAAATAAACTGGCCCAGCCCCCCATGGTGCTTACCCTGGCGAGCCGCGTGCCAAGCGTTGCCGACCCCTGCTTTGGAGGATAGGATTAGAGTTCAAAATGACTTTGACAAACTGGAGAATTGGTCTGAATTCAACAAGATGAAATTCAATAAAAACAAGTGCAAAGTACTTCACTTAGGAAGGAAAAATCAAATTAAAAACTACAAAATGGGGAACAACTAGTGGTACTGCTGAAAAGGATCTGGGGTTATAGTGGATCACAAATTGAATACGAGTCAATGTGATGCAGCTGCAAAAATTCTGGGGTGTATATATAGGAATGTCGTATGTAAGACACGGGAGGTAATTGCCCTGCTCTACTCAGCACTGGTGCGGCCTCAGCTGGAGTATTGTGTCCAATTCTAGGCTCCACATTTAAGGAAAGACGGGGACAAATTGGAAAGTCCAGAGGAGAGCAACAAAAATGACAAAAGTTTTAGAAAACCTGATGCATGAGGAAAGGTTAAAAAAACTGGTCATATTTGGCTTTGAGAAAAGAAGACTGAAGTGGGACATAACAGTCTGCAGATATGTTAAAGGCTACTATAAAGAGGCCAGCAATCAATTGTTCTCCATGCAGTAAGAGTGATTTAGGTTAGAAATAACTTTCTAATTGTAAGTTCTGGACTAGGCTTCCAAGGTGGTTGTGGAATCTCCATAATTGGAGGTTTCTAAGAACAGGTTGGATGAACACCTGTTAGGGAAGGTGTAGGTTTACTTGGTCCTGCCACAACGCAGGAGCTTGCATTTGATGATTTCTTGAGGTCCCTTCCAGCCTGACATGTCTATGATTGTTAAAATTCACTAGAAGTAAGATCTACTCCAATTCAAAAAACTGTCCAAAACTTCAGATTGAGGAGATTAATTAACAAGCTCATCCCTTTGGCCAAGCTACAAGGTTTCAGCACGAATAGGTAAATTTATGTATGTTTTTCCTAGCTTCAGAATCAATCTATGTTTAACTGTGAGTAATGTGATTAGGGTAGGAAGAAACTAAATGCATCACAGGTAAAACAAGAGTCATTACCCTTTTCCTGTTGCAGCATTCAAAAACTGTACAGTCACTCTAACAAGTTCTGGGATTCCCCCAGTCTTCTAGAGGCTGAAATTTCCCTTTTCTGAATAGAATTGCTTAGCGTAAGAAACTTTTAATCAGCATGCCAGGGAAAAAAAGTTTTATTTGACAGAACATTTAGAGGCTATGCATTTCTCTTTTGGAAAGTCTTATCAAATACAGAACTAAAAAGTTTGTCCAGAATTGCTGTACACACAGATCAAACAAAGTGATATTTAGATAGTACATTCAATTTCCTGAACTCAACTCCACAAGTAGTATACTTGCAAATTTGTTTTATTTCACTTTATACAAAGTTGAAACATGTATTTTTAAAAAGCTTACAGTATCATAGGTCACATCTACTGCAGTAGAAAAAGTTAACATTGACTTGGGAAAATAAATGTTCTAGTTCATATGGGCTCTATTCAATACAGAGGGCCATCCATGGATTTGAGCCCACCTCTATATAAGTTAAGTGTGGCTTAGCTTATATAGCGGAAGATCAGTACAGAGCCCGAAGCTAGAACGATTCTAACAAAACATATCAGCTCTGCATCTGCAAATCAAGAGTTCACATAAACTAACTCTCCCCACTTCCTTAGCTGGGACTAGCTTTCCCCTGCTGGGGCCTTGCAGCTGAAAAGCAATTGCAAGTGTTACACTCCCCCTTCTGAGCTCTATTTAAGAGCTGTAATCAAGAGAGATACTGTTTAGGTTTTATGGCCTTCTTACAACTTTTCATTTGGTTGTCTGACAGTGAATCAGGGATAATTCCCTCTGGATTCTGTCCTTAGATGACATGTTAAGCCTCGCTGCCATATGCTTGTGTGCAGAAAGGAAATGTTGAGAAGCCAGTTAGGCTGAAATTGGCAATACCTGAACATTCTCAAAAACATGAGTACTCCTATAAAATAAAAATTAAAAAGCAGCTCCCATATGCATAGAATTTCTTAATTTGCTAGTTCTTGACATCTGTGTAGTATAACAAATTATTTCTCTATTATCAAGGTGCGATCAGATTGTATGAAAGTTGTAAATTTACTCTTGTGCACACAGCCTGGCCTTCAGTGTTGCCTACAGGTGAATTTCACTCCAAGTAAGAATAGTAGAAACTCAGTAATGCTTCAGACATCAGTACCTGGGAGAAGACAATGATTATATATATATATATATATATATATAGTACAACTTTGATAATCTAAACAAAATGAGAAAAACCAAATTCAGATAAGCCAGATTTCAGACAATCATTTGATTGTGAAATGAAACAACATCTAGAGAGAGCCATGTACAATACAACTTCTGTTATCCCAAATACCTTGCTATCTGCTACTCACATACCTGCCACAGGTTCCCAACGCAACTGGCCACAGGAATGGTGTTTCGTAAAGAAACAATAAAGATGGATATGCAACAGATTTTTGATTTCTTAATAGAAATAAACATGGTAGCCACCAAACCTGAAAGGCTTACAAGAAAATAAAAATATTGGTCTTGTGCCTTTGTTTCTTTCGGAAGTATAAACTCAGCTTGTAATTTAATTTAATTTAATTTTTAATGCATTAGAAATATCAAGAAAGTCAACTCTGCTCATCCCTAGGTTTGCTGGAGAAAATGTGTATTATGGGCTCTCACATCTTAAATGAAGGGGAATGGGTTTTGTTTCCAACAATGTCCTTTCTCTAAAGTGTTAGTCAGTGAACTTACTTACATTTAAAAACAAAAACAAAAAATTGAGTATTAGTTTGACTAACTCTACTTCTCAGCTTTCACTCCTGGGATGTCTCATTTCACTAGTTCTTCTGTCACCCACAGTCTTCCAAGCTATATAGGCCTTCCATTTTTATCATAAAAAATAAAATAAACGCTATCCAAAAAAGAAATGGAACAAAAATACATCCCCTTATAGGCCTTCTTTATATATTATGAAACATCAAAAAAAGGGTGCAAGCTAATATTTTTTAAAGTCTTTTCCACGTCACCTTTTAAAACAACCCTAAGAAAAGGCAATAGCAAACATTAATATAGGCTTGTCTTCTTCATGATTCTCAAAAATTCTTGCTCATTTACTTCTCCATCTCCATCTCGATCAGCTTCATCAATCATTTCCTGTAAAGAATATTTTTAAGACTAACAAGCAGACTCAACACAAAACCTTTTATTTACTTTAAAGTAGGGCTCTCAAGCGATTTAAAAAAAAATTAATCGTGCAATTAAACAATAGAATAACATTTATTTAAATATTTTGGATGTTTTCCACATTTTCAAATATATTGATTTCAATTACAACACAGAATACAAAGTGTACAGCACTCACTTTATATTTATTTTTATTACAAATATTTGCATTGTAAAAAACAAAAGAAAGTATTTTTCAATTAACCTCATATGAGTACTGTAGTGCAATCTCTTTATCATGAAAGTTGAATTTACAAATGTAGAATTATGTGCAAAAAATAACTGCATTCAAAAACAAATCGGTGTAAAACTTTAGAGCTGACAAGTCCACTCAGTCCTACTTCTTGTTCAGCCAATCGCTCAGACAAATAAGTTTGTTAACATTTGCAGGAGGTAATGCTGCCTGCTTCTTGTTCACAATGTCACCTGAAAATGAGAACAGGCATTCGCATGGCACTGTTGCAGCTGGCATCCCAAGATATTTACATACCAAATGTGCTAAAGATTCATCTGTCCCTTCATGCTTCATCCACCATCCAGAGGACATGCGTCCGTATTGATGACAGGTTCTGCTCGATAACAATCCAAGCAATGCGGATCGACATGTGTTCATTTCCATAATCTGAGTCAGATGCTACCAGCAGAAAGTTGATTATCTTTTTCGGTGGTTCAGGTTCTGTAGTTTCCACATCGGAGTGTTGCTCTTTTAAGACTTCTGAAAGCATGCTCCACACCTCATCCCTCTCAGATTTTGGAAGGCACTTCAAATTCTTAAACCTTGGGTTGAGTGCTGTAGCTATGTTTAGAAATCTCACATTGATACCTGCTTTGCGTTTTGTCAAATCTGCAGCGAAAGTGTTCTTAAAATGAACAACATGTGCTGAGTCACGTGAGACTACTATAACATGAAATATATTGCAGAATGTGGATAAAACAAAGCCAGAGACATACAATTCTCCCCCAAAGAGTTCGGTCACAAATTTAATTAACGCATTATTTTTTTAATGAGCGTCATCAGCATGGAAGCATGTCCTCTGGAATGGTGGCCACAGCAAGAAGGGGCATATGAATGTTAGGCATATCTGGAACGTAAATACCTTGCAATGCCGGCTATAAAAGTCTCATGCGAATGCCTTGTTCTCACTTTCTGGTGACATTGTAAATAAGAAGTGGGCAGCATTATCTCACGTAAATGTAAACAAACTTGTTTGTCTTTAGTGATTGGCTGAACAAGAAGTAGGATTGAGTGGACTTTGTAGGCGCTAAAGTTTTGCATTGATCAGTTTTTGAGTGCAGTTATGTAACAAAAAAAATCTACATTTGTAAGTTGCATTTTCATGATAAAGAGATTGCACTACAATACTTGTATGAGGTGAACTGAAAAAATACTATTTCTTTTGTTTATCTTTTTTATAGTGCAAATATTTGTAATAAAAAATAATAATGAAAACTGAGCAGTGTATACTTTGTATTCTGTGCTGTAATTGAAATCAATATATTTGAAAATGTAGAAAAATATCCAAAATATTTAATAAATTTCAATTGGTATTCTATTAACAATGTGATTAAAACTGCGATTGATCATGATTAATTTTTTAATCGTGATTAATTTGAGTTAATCGTGTGAGTTAACTACGATCAATCGACAGTCCTACTTTAAAGTATATGAAAAAAATATAAAAAGCAAACAAGTTTACACCATGAAATATTTAATTATGCATCTACATTTGGAACACGTTTTGGGTCTAATGCCATATGCCTCATGTACGCTAAATTCCTACTGAATTCAGTGGGTCTTTTGTCTGGTTGGCCAGAACAAAAGTGGTTGTTACCCCTATAAGAGCTACCTCTGCAACTGAAGGCAGAGGAGCAAGGAGGAACAGGAAATGGCTGGACCAGATTGGAGGAGACGGCCCTTCCAGGTGACTGGGGATAGGGTGGGGGATATTTATACCGCATAGTTCCAGACAAGCCCGGTCACTGGGATCAGTGATGGGGGAGTGACCACCAAGCCCCACTCTCCTCTAGGGCAGGAGTTACTGAAATAAGTGGGGCAACAGATTTAGACACAGAGCTAAGGGGATGGGGATCGTCTATTGGGGGGGGCGTTGCCTGGGACTTGTAGGGTAAACATGCTGTTGACCTCCATAGAAAAGCTTTACACAACTGTTGCAGGCTAATAATTGTTACAGAAACTGCAGGCTTCCCTGGGTGGGAATGCTTGGCAGGTGTAGTTCCGCATGGGCTCAGGTTTTGGATACGGGAATAATATAACTAGGTGGTGAAGACCAAGCAATGGGGTAGGAGTCATTAACAATTGCTGCTTGTGTTTCCTTCTGATTGTATCCTTTTGGGTTTCTATTTTGAGATGGAGAAGGGTGAATTAAGAAAATAATGATGACCTGCACTGTGTGATTTATTGCTGGGTATTCTCAGATATTTTAGGTGAATAAAGTTGTGGCCTAATGAAAACATATCTATTGCCTCCTGTCTTTCTTTCAGAATAGCCTGACAATTTTGCCTGACAGAGCTAAAGAACTGTCCCAAAGTTTGTTGGGAAATGATTACTAAGGTCAGAATTTACCTGCAATTCTTCATCTGTTAAATTCTCTCCTAGCTCCTTGGCAACTCTCTTTAAATTTTTGAAAGAAATCTTTCCTGTCCCATCATCATCAAATAATCTGAAGGCTTTCAAAATTTCTTCTTTTGAATCTTTCTCATTCTAAAATGAAAATCAAGAAAAAATAAAAACCCATTGTCTAAATGTCCTCATTCATTTATTGCATTTGATTTTTCAGACGAAGTAGATGATTACCATTTTTTGGGTCATCATGGCCAAAAAGTCTTCAAAATCAATGGTGCCACTTCCTTCTTTGTCGATATCTGCTATCATTTTTTTAACTTCTTCTTTCTTTGGCTCAAAGCCTAGAGCACGCATTGCTACCTGCAACAAAGAGCAATTCAGTTAACATACACAACAAGATGCCACTAGAATTATACCTATACCATTTGCATTAAGCAGTGTTTCAGTTCTTTTCCTCAAACTGCAACTATAACTTAAAACATATAAATCACAAAAATTCTTATCTACATTTGTCATCCTTTTAATGATTAATGGTAGCATTACATGGTAATGGCATTTTTCCTTTGGAGTGGAGTAGTTTTTTGTGACTTACCGCTCTAACAAAAACAACATAAATTTCTTACCTTGAAAATCAATATGTAATTTATTTTACAGATTAATTGAATTGTTGAACTGGGACTTCAAGTCTCTGCAGGTCTCCTGTTCCCACTGATCCTACTCCTATTGAACTGTACAGCAAAACTCCCACTAATGTTAAGGTAAGGAGGAACAGGCCTCAAGTAAATTATAAAACTTAACTATTCTACTTATTGATATATAAACAGTTAAAAGGAATCCCCATTCCTAGCTCTAGGGACTTTTGATATTTATTTAAAGAGAAAAAAAACCCAAACCTAGAAATGTAACAACTATTAGGTATTTAAGGTCCTTTAAAATCAGTCAGTAGGACAGTCAGAAAACAAAATCCCTGCCATTTTCGGGCCATAAACAAAATACAAAACATAACTTTACAAACATGTCATTTAGACCAGGGGTTCTCAAACTGGGGGTCGGGACCCCTCAGGGAGTTGTGAGCTGTCAGCCTCCATCCCAAACCCTGCTTTGCCTCCAGCATTTATAATAGTGTTAAATATATTAAAAAGTGTTTTTAATTTATAAGGGGGGTTGTACTCAGAGGCTTGCTATGTGAAAGGGGTCACCAGTACAAAAGTCTGATAATCACTGATTTAGACTGTCATAGATGGGGTTAACAGAAGGTATTTTTAAAATTAAATTTTGTACCTGCAGTCTTTCAACACCTTGAACTATGCTTGCTGCTACTCCAAAAATTATTATTTATATAGCATCAGCAGCATGCTAGGTGCCTGAAGCAAATTTAATTTAGAAAGATTACATTCAGTTTCAAAAATACTTAGATTAGAGTGGATTTGGGGTATGTTTCGATCAACCAAAAATTTGTTTTCTGTATTTCTGATCAAGGAAAATTGCTATTTTTTTTCTTTCCATTTCAGAATGGAAGAAGTTTCAGAGTCACGAAACTCCTCCCAAATGGAAAAATCCAGTTCCTGAACAGCGCTAGAAATCATGAATGCATGTGACATATTGAATTATTTTATGTAAGAAACATATTGCAAATTTCTGTTATCTTAGCAGCTAAGTTCCTCCATTTGTTCTAAAATTAACTCTTTTACATATTATCAATATATTAATTAGATCAGCCAGACTGTGCTGACAAGGATTAGTGTTTAAAGTCACTGAAGTCAACAGGAGCTGGGAGTAACTCAACACATCTGAAAATCCAGCCTGCGATTTCTCCAGTTGGGCACCAGGGCTCGATTAATGCAGGAGCTTTAGGGGCTGCAGCCCAGGACTTCAGGCGAAGGGGGGGTCCCCCAAAAATAAATCCATAATTGTATACAATTCAGTGGTCACCAACCTGTCGATAGCAATCAACTGATTGATCCTGGAGCCTCTGCCAGTCGATCGCGATCTCTGGGCCACTAAAAGTCCAGCGGCGCAGCAGGGCTCAGGCAGGCTATCTGCATGCCGTGGCCTCACGCTGCTCCCAGAAGTGGACAGCTGCTGGCATATCTCTGCGGCCCCTGTGGGGCAGGTTAGAAGCACCTCTGCCTGCTGCCCCAGCACTGTCCCTGCAGCTCCCATTAGCCGGTTCCCGGCCAATGGGAGCTGCGAGGGCGGCACTTGTGGGCAGTGCATGGAGACACGTTGTCCCCCGCCCCCCAGGGTGCACAGAGACGTGACAGCAGCCGGCCACTTCCAGGAGTGGCGTGGTGCCACAGCATGCAGACAGGCAGCCTGCCTGAGCCCTGTTGTCCCGTCAGCCGGGAGCCGCCTGTGGTAAGTGCCTCCCGGCCAGAGCCTGCACCCAACCCCCTGCCCAGGTCAGAATCCCCTCCTGCACCAAACTCTCTCCCAGAGCCTGCACCCCTCAACCTCTCCTGCACCCCAACATTCTGCCCCAGCCTGGAGCTCCCTCTTGCACCCAAACTCCCTCCCAGAAAGAAACGAATATAACACCTGTTCTAAGGTAAGAAGTAGGCTATTTTGAATTAACTACCTATATTCTACATGTTTTAAGACTGAAATGTTACCACAGAACGGCTTTATGTTAATTAAAAGGCAAGTTTAGTATAGCATTAATAGTCTTGATGCCATAATTGTGATCATTTTGTTTTAAATTAGGAAAGACTTGTATACAGGGGCCCCACAAAATCTAATAGTCCCAGGTTCACAGGAGAATTAATTTGACCCTGTTGGGCACCCAAGCATTGGTTTACATTTGTAAAATTTAATTCTCAGAAAACAAGCCATTTCATATATTATTTGTGACTGACAATGCCAGTCTACAACTGAGTTTGGACACTGGTGAATAGAGCAGGTCAAGAGCTACAGCTTTGAAAATAAACAAAGAAAAAGTTACAACCTTCAGTTCTTTTACATCAATGCTTCCAGATCCATCAGTATCAAACAAATCAAAAGCTTCTCTGATCTCCTGCTTTTGTTCTTCAGTCAGTTCTGGTTTCAATCCACTTTTCTTCCGCTGGGCAGCACCCAAGCCAGCTTTTCTGTAGTTAGATGCCTTCAATAAATGAATGAAAGACAAAAGTTAGTAAAGACCCATTTCTAAAAAACAAACCAAAAAATACTCAGCAATAGTAGAACAAAGATGTTGGCTCAGTTCTGGCCAGCACCCAGTATCCTTTTGCTCAGAGTATCAGGAACTACCCCAAAGAGAAAGTGTTGAGCTTTTGGCAGCATGGGATAAACACTTTAGCTAGATGTTTCTGCCAGAATCAGCAATTAAATAATTAACATTGTTTACGCAAACTGTCATCTTTTAGTGGCAGTATTAACATACTACTTAGATGACTGAGGATGTTTATATTTCTTGACTACTGTTTCAGTCTGTCTGCAGAGAACACAGCACTAATTTAACCTTGAAAATGTTAAGAGAAATCTATCTTCACAACCATAATGGCTAGCACTATAGGCTTCAACTTTGAGCATGACTGAAGAGTACCTCAATACTTGTTCAGCACAGAAATGGGAATGCTTATTCTGGGATTATTTGGAGCTTGCCCTGGTTAAATTAGAGCAGCCTCTGAGCTGCTGTAACTTGTACTCTTTAATTGGCACCCTGGGCCACAGAAACCAGAAAATGGCGAGTATAGCACCTAGCTCTAATACACCCCTAAGTCACTGGCAGTCAGAGAGAGGAAAGGGGGCTGGCTATGTAGGAGCCAGCTATGCAGGGTGTATTCCCCAAGTAGTATAAAGGGGACATATTCCAATGGAGAATTGCATTCCTTCCTCCTCCTCCTTTTTCTTTTTTTAAATTTAAAGCTTAGAATCTGGAGTACAATTCTGCAACAGGAATGGCAACTTCCACTGCATCTCTGAACACAAGAGGCTTCAGCCTGCTTTCAGTCCTGATGCTTGACTCTGCCTGGGTTCACATGAAGACAGTATTTAAAAGTTCAAACTTTATGGGCGAGAAAAGTAAATAAAAAGTTTATTACAATGGAAGTTTAATTTTGCACTTAGTAGGAAAAGTTTCTTACCCCTAACTTTCTGTCAGTAGGAATGCCATTAAAATAAAAAATTTTAGATTCTATTTTGGGTTGGAATTTTATTTTTAACGTGACTTGTCCATACCAGGTTGGCTTAGGAACCCATTATTCCAGCAAATCTCTCTCACTTTTCTTTCCATTCACATGGCTGCTCCAGATTTTTAATATTTAAAAACCCCTAAGATATGACATTTAAGTAATAGAGGGACTCACAGGGAGACACTCTAATTGAAAAGGAAGGATAAATTGTTATACAGCAGAGGCCCAAACCTACTGTCTTTGAAAATTTCCATACATCCAATTGACCAAATGGACACTACTTATTGTTCTTTCCGCACATTTCAAATTTTAACACTGCACAAATTCTTCAGTGCAAATATTCCATTTGCATTCTTTTCTTGCCCACATAATTGCTGTGTATGCTAACTGACAGTCAGACACCAGAACAGGGTAAATTAATTAGGAGAGCACATTTACCCATTCTAAGTGGCACTGTGTGTGTTCCCTGCATGTTACCACACCCAAAATTCAAACTGCAGATTAGCCACATTTGGTATTTTATCTCTACTAGACAAAAAAGTGACATCACTATGTCACCCCGGAAAAAGGAATTTTTACCTGTCCTCCTGGAATTAAACTTGGGTAAGCTTATTTTAGCATCCTGCAATCTAGCCAAAATCAATAATGCCCCATAACATAAAAAAAAAGTGAAATAGGTGGAAAACCTGAACAGACTAGTTTTCCAGGGACTGAGCAGCAGCTCTTCAAGGTGAGCTCAAGTGTCTTAGCCTCTCTGACACTTTCTCTTGGTGTAGCTCAGAGAAACAATAGGGCTGATTCAGACAGGTGCTTACCAAGGACCCCAGATCAAGGGAAGTGTGTATGGATTAATAGTCACATGGGGATGAGCCACCATAGGGCATATCCAAGCAAATACAGGATACTCGCTAATCGGGGGTCACCCTAGCTATAACTAAAAAAAAAAAAAACGGACGGAACCAGACACGGTCCTTGAATCATCAACCCCGAAGACCCAGAATCCCCTGCACGAGGCCAGAATCTAGCAGCCTGTCTGACCAGAGCTGAAGAGGCTCCTATATTAACCCTTTTGCAGGATGTCCACGATTTGATTTGTTAGTCTCTAAGGTGCCACAAGTACTCCTGTTCTTTTTACGATTTGATGGTAACAGCTTTAAAAACAATAGAGCCAGTGCTTAGAGCGAACACCACCCGCATGCCAGCTTGGTTGGAACCAGCCCTGCACCTTCCCCCTCCATCGCAGCTTTGCCCAGAGAGCCCAGCACTGGTTACTGCAGCAGGGCTGGGATCCCACCTCATCTTCACACAGGGCGGTCAGCCTCGCCGCTTTGGGTCGGGACGGACTGTGCCACGGTGCCCAGGCCCGGGGGTTGGCAGCTTGTCTCCCCCAGGCCTGGGGAAGGGTTCCCGGCGCGCTCTGATGGCTGGGGCAGGTGGGGGCGGATTTACCAGGCCAGCCCTGCTAGGCGCGGGGGGGGGGGGCGTGCACACTCACCATCCGACACGCGGCACTGGGGCTCGTGGGGCTGATGCGGGGCGTCAATTGTTCTACCACCAACCTACACTGAGCGCCTCTCCTGGGTCCGGCAGCGCGGCTCGTCCAATGACCAGCGAGAACGCCCCCGAAGCCCAGTCCGCCTCCATACTCGGGGCCAGTCAGGTGCGGCGGGCATTGTGAGGTCACACCGAACGCCATGTTGCCCGTTGGCGTGGATACACACTACAAACGCAGGCGTCGTTGTCCCGGCAACAAATCCCCGTTTTAGTTGCCGCTGGGAGCTTGGGCGCATGCGCCTGCCCGAAACAACGGAAATCCCGCGCTACGTGCGCGGCTGTTCGGCCGCGTCTAGAACAGAAGTGACTCCCCTCCGCGGGCGGCCCGGCCCCCCCCTCCCCCTCCCTGCGCGTGAGGGAGAGCGAGAGCGAGAGCGAGAGCGGGGCTGGCGGCGGAGAGCGGTCAGTAGTGCGGGCCGGGGCTCAACGGCCGCAGGGGCGGCGGGTGTCCCGATCCCACACGGGCAGCAGAGCAGCCCTGCCTCTGTCGAGGGCCCAAGCCGCGGAACCCGGCTTTCAGCTGCTGGGGCGAGTGGGTTTTGTCCATTTCCCAGCTGGGGTAACAACAGCCCAGCCGGGGGTCGCGCTAGTAACTCCCGCGGGAACCCGTGTGCTGCAGCCTTCTCTCACTCCACTGCTGGGCCAGCGCCTGTGGGGCGCGTGGCTGGCGGGGAGGATGCACGGTGGGGCCAGCACCTGTGAAGGATGGGCTGCGAAGAGAGCCTCCCCGCTGAGACACCTTAGCAATGGCTCCGAGGGGCTGGTCTAGGAGGAGGCATTCCTGGGAGAGAAACTGTCTGGGGGGCTATGTGGTTTCCGACTTGAGTACAATACTAGATAGGCCGTGCGCTTGGCAAGACTAGGTTGGGGGAGGCCTCTGCTAATGAGGAAAGTCTGTTCTAGTGCCTAATCACCTTTAGCCAATTTGCTCCTTCACTCTCTTTCATTTTTTAAAACTGATATAATGTACACAGTTGTTTCCCTGTGTGTTTAACAGAGCTGCAGACCCTTCTTTAGGGAAAAGGAATGCAGGCTTATGAGACTCGGTCACTGGCCACAACAATTTATGAGAGGCTGTCACGTGCCCTGTAGATTGAGCTTTTGAAGAATACCTTCCTTACGTGCAAACAGGCAGAGTCAGGAATGCAGCAGGAGACAGTCTGATGCCTATGCACCCAGTCAGGGCCCAGTGTGTTCTGAGATAGGGTGACCAGCTGTCCTGCTATTACTGGGACCATCCTGTTATTAGGGGTTTGTTTTATATGGGCAACTATACATCTGCTCCCTCTTCCACCCCCCCACCCCCCCCCAAAAAAAGTGTCCTGATTTTTCACACTTGCCATCTAGGCACCCTAGTTCTGAGATGCTGTGGAATTTACCATCCCTGTTGCAAAATTTAACTTCAGGTTCTCCTTAATTTAAAATAAAAAAAGGAGGGGGTAATTCTCCATTGAGTTATGTGTCCCCTTTATGCCACTCTGGCAATGTTTAAAGGACTTAGGGAATAGTTTTCAACTAGCAATAATCACGCCTCGGATTAACCTCATTGGCTATGATACTGCCACTGTGCAACACCTTGCATAAGTGGCTACTGCACAGAAGGTCTCCCTTCTCTGCAGCTGCTGGTGGCTTAGGGATGTAGTAAGGTATGTCTACACAACTGCTGGGAGCATGCTTCCCAGAGCAGCTAGATAGAGCCACACTAACTCCACTCAAGCATGCTAAAAATAGCAGGGTGGCTGTGGTGGCATGGGTGATATCTTGGGCTAGCCCCCGAAGTACATAGCTGCCCAGCCCCCCCAAGTATGTATTCAAGTGAAAAAGAAATGCACTCTTTTAAGACTCAGGCTTGGTCTACACTGCCAACTTATGATTGTAAAATAGCTACATAGTTGAGCAACGCAATTATACCAACCTAACTCCAAGTGTAGACTGTGTTATGTCAACGGGAGGGCTTTTCCCTTCAACATAGGCACCACCTCCAGGCACCAGCCCAGCAAGCAGGTGCTTGGGGCGGCCAATGGAGAGGGGCGGCATGTCCGGCTCTTCGGCGGCAATTCGGCGGCGGGTCCCTCACTCCCTCTGGGAGCGAAGAACCAGCCGCCAAATTGCCACTGAAGACTGAAGCGGCAGCGGTAGAGCAGATCACGATCGTGGCTTCTTTTTTCTTTTTGCTGCTTGGGGCGGCAAAAATCCTGGAGCCGACCCTGATCACCTCTCGGGGAGGTGGAGTACTCACACTGACCAGAGAAGCTCTTCAGTCGGTGTAGGTAGCATCTTCCCTAAGCACTGCAGAAGCACTAGTGCAGCTGTGCCACTGCAGTACAGTAAGTGTAGACAAGCCCCCTGTCTCTAGCCAGAAAAATTTCTGAGAAACTGTCAGTCTCCAAATAGCAATATGCTTGAGGTAGATGGGATAAGGAATTGCTATTACTCTGCATGGTTCATAGTAAACTAAAACATTTTTCAGCTGCCTGTTTTCCAGTAACTGCAGCTGCACCAGGGCTAGCAATGGGGTGTGTGGGTGGGTATGTACGCTTATGTGCAGACAATTCAGCAGTTTTTACTAACACTTCATGATAATATACTAAGAGCTGGAAAATTGATTCAGAATTTTATAATCTGGAAAGACCTTTAAAGATTAAGATGCTACTGGGGAAAGCAAAGTAAAGTAATACAAACATACAGTCTCTCTTTCTGCTTCAGATTGTAAAAATAAGCTGCACATTTTAGGCCAAAAAAGATGATGCAATGAAACATACTCTTTTTCTAGAAAAGAGTTTTCTTCTGCTCTGCTGTTTACAGAGGATAGGATTTCCAGTGGAGTTGAGTATCAGGGGGTAGCCGTGTTAGTCTGTATCTACAAAAACAACAAGGAGTCTGGTGGCACCTTAAAGACTAACAGATTTATTTGGGCATAAGCTTTCGTGAGTAAAAACCTCACTTCTTCGGACCAGTGGAGTTGGTCCTGTAAGTCAGGTAGGGTTGGTAGAAACCCATTAAGGCAGTCAAAGGGTCTCAGGGCAGGTCTTCACTACAGGGGGGGGTCGATTTAAGATACGCAAGCTGAATTCGACGTATCTGAGCCAACTTACCCCGCTGTGAGGACGGCGGCAAAATCGACCTCCGCGGCTCCCAGTCGACGGCGCTTACTCCCACCTCCGCTGGTGGAGTAAGAGCGTCGATTCGGGGATCGATTGTCGCGTCCCAACGAGACGCGATAATTCGATCCCCGAGAGATCGATTTCTACCCACCGATTCAGGCGGGTAGTGTAGACCTAGCCTGAGGCTAGTTAAAACATCACACCGCCTAGGTGACATAGTTATGCTGGAAGAACCCCCAGTGTAGATGCAGCTGTGCCGACAGAAGAGTGCTTCTGTCGGTATAGCTGATGTCACTCGGACGTGGCTTTCTGTTGGCATATACTGTGTCTACACTACGGGTCTTTGCCAGCATAGCTATACCAACGTAGCTAGGCTGGCAAAGCATTTGCAGTGTAGACAAGGCCTCAGTTTCTCCACTGATGCTTCTCCATAGACAATACCACCTCTTACTCTTTCGTTATCTTACAGGGTCTTCCTCCTTTTCTTTCTTCACTCTTCCCTGGCCTTTTCTGATTTAGGTAACTTGAAAATATAACCCAAACTAACTTTCTTTTTTTTTCTTTTCTTTTTTTTGGATAGGTGGAGAAAGGGGGGAGGAAGAAGTATGAAACAATGAAATTCTAAATGCAATGTCTTGTATTACATGTTGATTTCCTGTGTTACAGTCACGTGTATGTTATGGTTATTACCAATATACATGTATGCATGATGGAAGAGAAAAAAGTTACAAACTTTTACAGCTCAAAAATGAGTATCACTGGCTCTTTTAAATAAAATGTCTCAAGCAAAAGATACCCAAATTGCTTTATGACCTGATATACAAGTTATACATAGCACTGTAGGGATTACTTCACATCTCTAGTATATCCTATAGGCTGAAATGAAGCATCTGTTTTACAGCAGCAGTCCAGATTTAGGGCAGGAAGTGAGGATTACCTTTTTCAGTTGAAATACCAGGGGAAACTTTAGGTGAACAGCCTGTAATTGACAGTGTTGGAATTTGACCATAGCGCTGGTGTGGCTGCCTCTGTTTTACAGAAGGTGCCACAGTATCTGTTATCACAAATCACAGGACTTTGGTTTTTCATCTCATCTGATAGACAGTACCTCCAGCACCAAGGTGCCTCTTAACCCCCATGCAGAAGCACAGGTTCAGGCACATCTTCCTCAACAGGTAGAAAACTTTGATGGGACTGCTGGTGATTGGGTCAGTCCCAGTAGAAACAGAGAAAGAACAGTCATTGGTGGAGTGGAGGTGTGTGTGCAGGGGTGGCCCTTCCCCCCTTCAGAGGCTTTATCTACTCACTGGCCAGCTAGAGAGGAAGGGAGCGGATTGGTTTCTCATTTTCCCCTTTCATAATTTAAACCCTAGTTTGGCCCATGTGGAGCCTCTTTTTGCTCAGCAGCCCCACCCTGTTACCTGTAAGTATATTTTCACAGCTGTGTCTTGCAGATGCTGCAGGTCTGACCAGTTGCCTGTCTGGGGGTCAGGAAGGGGTTTTTCTTCTATTGGGGACAAATTCTCATAGTTCTGGTAGAGTGTGGTTTTTTTGGTTTGTTTTTGTTTCCTTCCCCTCCCCCCCCCATCATCCTGGAGGTGCACTTAGGTTAAATAGGAATAGGATTGAGGCCAGGTCTACACTAAAACGTTAGGTCAACCCAGCTCTGTTGTTCAAGAGTGTGAAAAAGCCAACCTAACTACAGGTGTAGTCAGTGCTAGGTTAATGGAAGAATTCTTCAATCAACCTAGCTACTTGCCTCTCGGAGGTGGATTAACTACAGTGACAGGAGAACCCCTTCCCTCACTGTATTGAGCGTTTTTGCTGAACCGCTGCAGCAGTTTAAGTGTGGACATAGCTTTAGTAGTTGATAGGGATGTTAGTTTGTTGCACCTTGCAGCCACTTTCCAGTGCATTTAAAAAGGATTCCCAGAAGTAGAAGACCTGGGCTTTGTGCTGATGGGATGCGGAAGAACCTCATGGCCTTCACGGGCTGATGCTTCCTACCATTTGATAGTGTAGGGGACAATTTCCTGGTGCAAGTGCTGGAGGAACCAACTAGGGGCAAAGCTT